AATGAATTTTTTGAAAAAAAAAAAATGCCAATATATTTCTAAATTTTTAAAATGCAGTAAATGATTAAAATAAATGAATTAAACTCATATACACTACAGGAAAAAGCATATTCGGCGACTAAATTTCCTGACCAAAAAATTTGGTCGCTGAAAGTATATCTTTCAGCAACCAAAACAGCATTAGTTGCCAAAGTAAAGCTTTTTGGCGACTAAACAATTTTAGTAGCAAAAGTCTACATTGGCGACTAAACTAGTTTGGTCGCTAATTATATGGTTTTAGTGACTAAAAATTTTAGTAACCCAAAGTAAAGCTTTTGGCGACTAAAAAATTTAGTAGCCAAAGTCTACAATTGGCGACTAAAATAAGTTTGGTCGCTGATTATATAGGTTTTACCGACTAAAAAAATTTTAGTAGCCAAAAGTAAAGCTTTTTGGTGCCAAAAAAATTTTAGTAGCCAAAAGTTTACAATTGCGACTAAAAAATAAGTTTAGTCGCCAAACAGTGGTCATTTTTAGATTTTGATAATCCAAACCGTTCATATTTTAGAATACATCAAGTAGAACGTGTCTGCAAAACATCAAGTTAATCGAATATCGTTTACCCTTTCATCCACTCACATTTATATTTATTTTAATACTTTAAATCACAATTGTTATTTATTCACTACAACAAAAACACCAACGGCGACTAAAAAAAAAAAATTCGTCGCTGAAAGTGCATGAAATGGCGACTAAAATGGAATTAGTCGCCGAAAAGCAAGGTTTTAGCGACTAAAAGAGTATAGTCGCCGAAAAGCAGGGTTTTAGCGACTAAAATGAAGTTTAGTCGCCGAATATAGGGTTTTTAGCGACTAAACTTTGTTTCGTAGCCAAAAGTCACAGTTTTTGGCGACTAAAATACTTTAGTAGCGAAAAGTTACAGTTTTGGCGACAAAAAACAGGTTTAGTCACTGATTATAGCAGTTTTGGCGACTAAAAACAATTTAGTCGCTGAAAGTGGGGGTTTTGCCGACGAAAATCCATTTTAGTCGCCCAAAGTAGTGGTTTTGGCGACGAAATTTCTGTTTAGTCGCCAAAAGTGCTGATTTTTATTTGAGAACTTGTTTTTTTAGCGACAAATAAATAATTAGTAGCCCAAAATAATACAATTAGCGACTAAAAAATGGTTTTAGTCGCCAAAAGTCGCCTAATTTTTTTTTTAGTAAATAATTTATTTTTTGACAAAAATTATATTGAATTAAAAAAATTATATTTATAAATATTATTTTGTATTAATTGCGGTTAATATAGTATATAAATAATATATATTGCATATATGATCATGTGATGATGTACTGGCATAGTGGAGGGAGTGTTGTGCAAAGGGTTTGGCGTGTGGAAAGGGACGTCGCAAGTTCGAAACCTGTTGGGAGCAGCGGAGGCAAAAATTTTTTTTTTCTGAAAATACTTTCAGCGACTAAAGTGAATGGTCGCCAAAGGTATAAATAATAAAATAAAAATGAACTATTGGCGACTAACAGTTTAGTCGGCAAAGGTATAATTTCCAATAAAGAAATTGACTATTGGCGACGAAATCTTTAGTCGCTGAAGACATATATATTGGCGACTAACAGTGTTTTAGTCGCCAAAGGCATTCGCGACCATTTATTGGCGACAACACGGGCGACTAAACTTTTTAGTCGGGAAAAGTGAAATTTTGACATTTGGCGACTAAAATATGACCTTTGGCGACTAAAAATTTAGTCGCCAAAGGTGTTTTTTCTTGTAGTGACAATCAGTCTGAGAAAAATTGATTTATTTTGTATTATTAGAACTTATATATATATATATATATATTATAATAATAATTATGATTATTTAATTTTATAATACCGTATCAATAAATTGGCAATACAAAAAAGGTTCACAGAGGTTCTCCGGGGGTGCATTCTGTGCTCTTTCAGCTATGAGTGCCGTAGCTGCAATTATGGATGGCTTGAACTCTGTATATGTGGCATCTGATAGATAAAAAAACAGAAGGATTAATTAGTAATAATCAAGAATATTCATAATCAAATTATTTTGGTTTTGTTTTGTTTTCAAAAACCCAAAAAAGAAAGGAAAAAAAAGAAGAAAAGAAAATAGTGAGCGACGTAATACAAAATCCAAAGAAAATCACACTTTTTTTTTTTGCATTACCATAATGCATGTGCAACAATTTGTATTCAATACTCCTGAGTTTGAAAGCTGCTATTTCTTCAGCATCACTGATGTCGAAGAAAGAGATGAAGAAATCAAGAAAACACACTGGAGTCACTGATTGCAATTGCCAATTCAGCACATAGAGAATTCGATGTTCCATTTTCTCTATCATCGATGCATCAATGTAGAGTCTGTTTCTGTCCTGAAATTCATGGGTTTGAATTTCACGTTTCGATTTATGAAAAAAATAAAAATAAAAATTGAAAGGGCAGTGAAATTTTACTAGAAACATTGGCATATCAAAGTAACGCGTCCTCGTCTTCCAACCAAGGATAACACAGCTGGTAACAAACAGATCATATGATCTTTGATCCTACAATTCATCAAATAATTATAATCTATAGATAAATTTACACATATGTACAATAAAAATAATTTCATGAGCACAAAATGAGATATTATGTGTCTACTTCTTGTTGTGAGAGTGTTCTTGTGTCTAGTTCTCATAAAACCACACTCTCCATTTTGAGTTTTTAAAAATAAATTTTCAATTTTCAATTCATTATTTATAGTGAATATTTTTAATAGTTTAGTCAATGTTTTTTAAAGATTCACTAATCTTGACACATTTACGAAGTACAAAATTTGTTAAAAAAATCACTAAATGCAAAAATAAAAAAAAATTCATTAAATACAACAAATATATATATATATATATATAAATTCAATACATTTTGATATTATTTTATATTTAGTAAATTTTTCAATTTTTTAGGTGAATTTTTAAATAATTTCGTACAAATATTTTACTTTTTAAGTATTTAGATTAAGTACATCTAAAAAAAATAGACTAAAATAATTTTTAAAAAATAATAAAAATAAAAAATACAAATTAAAAACTCAAAAATTAAATAAAGATAGATTTATTTATTGGTTAGAATAATCAAGAAATTCATAACAAGTACAGCATTTGAGGCTTCGTTGCAATCAAGTTCTTTGTAAATAAAAACAAACAATTACGCAGCGGATAAAATAATCATATCATACCTTTCGATGATAGAACCTCATGGATAAATCACGTGCTTCCATACTCAATCAATCAATCCCAGCAGTGGGGTGATATTACAATGGTGAATATCACCCACACAAACCACAGTGCAAAATGACTTTGATCGTTATTTTTGGGAGAGAGTCAGTATCATGGGTAGAAACAAAACATACGTTGTTTCTCTCTTGTTACCCATAACCATATATCAGATATATATTATATTTATCTCATTTATCCATTGGTTAAATGAGATAATATCTGATATCTATATCATCTATCCATATCATGATATGATAGATATATATCCTGAGTGGCTCATCCAAATAGGTTTGAATTTAAATTCAAAACCCATTTGGATGAGGTTCAAAAGGTTCTAAGGGTCATGCCACATGGGCGCCCAATTTCTAACATTCTTGATTTACCGGCAATGGGTACCATGAAATGCAGCGATCGAAGTAAGTCATGGCAAGAAACTCCACGTATGGGTCGTAATCAATACCACCATTCTGTGATAACTGTAATCATCATCATAATCATCAAACAAGGAAAAAAAAAAATTACACAATCCACATATATATTCATATATATACATGAATCAATACAATTCAGAGAAGAAGAAGAAGAAGAAGAAGAAGAAGAGAGAAAGAGAGAGAGAGGAGTGTTTTGTGGTAGTACTTCTCTCATTCTGTTTGCAGCATTCCTTCTCAGAAGTCGAGCTTCATGGTTCTGGAAGAAACCCTGAGCTGCCATGAATTGTGTTTCGATTTTGAAGAGCCTCTGAAACGGATTGAGTTCTTCTTCTTGAAATGGGTTCTCTGAACTGGACGCCATTTTCGAATCTGCGTCTTGATTTCTTGAAGGTTGATCCAAGAAGAAGAAGAAGAAGAAGAAGATAGTTTGTTGCAGAGAGTCTGCTTGAGAGAGAGAGAGAGAGAGAGAGAGAGAGAGAGAGAGGGAGAGAGGTTTTTGCGGGTTTAGTAATGCTTCTCCTACTGAGGTAGATACTTTGTTAGTTATTACAGTTGGGCCAAGTAGCTGCGGCAGAGCTTTGATCCAGTACAGTTGCGGTACTGCGTGCAACCCAAATAACAAACAACTTTAACATTTTTAAAGCGATCGAAGTAAGTCATGGCAAGAAACTCCACGTATGGGTCGTAATCAATACCACCATTCTGTGATAACTGTAATCATCATCATAATCGTCAAACCAGGAAAAAAAAAATTACACAATCCACATATATATTCATATATATACATGAATCAATACAATTCAGAGAAGAAGAAGAAGAAGAAGAAGAAGAAGAGAGAAAGAGAGAGAGAGGAGTATTTTGTGGTAGTACTTCTCTCATTCTGTTTGCAGCATTCCTTCTCAGAAGTCGAGCTTCATGGTTCTGGAAGAAACCCTGAGCTGCCATGAATTGTGTTTCGATTTTGAAGAGCCTCTGAAACGGATTGAGTTCTTCTTCTTGAAATGGGTTCTCTGAACTGGACGCCATTTTCGAATCTGCGTCTTGATTTCTTGAAGGTTCATCCAAGAAGAAGAAGAAGAAGCTAGCTTGTTGCAGAGAGTCTGCTTGAGAGAGAGAGAGAGAGAGAGAGAGAGAGAGGGAGAGAGGTTTTTGCGGGTTTAGTAATGCTTCTCCTACTGAGGTAGATACTTTGTTAGTTATTACAGTTGGGCCAAGTAGCTGCGGCAGAGCTTTGATCCAGTACAGTTGCGGTACTGCGTGCAACCCAAATAACAAACAACTTTAACATTTTTAAGGGTCCAGTTTCGATTGGATTGTACTGTTTGGGTTTAGTAGGAGTAGGATCATCACAAGTTATATTTCGATAATTTAGATCGTTTATTTTTTAAACTATAACGTGTAAGTCGTTTATGAAAAAAATAAGTTTAATCCGATAATTGTAACCACATTAGTTTATTATAAATGATCTAATCTTCAAATAATATTTATCGTTTATTTTTTTACAAATAAATATTATAAATTAATGTGATTATATTTATTGAATTGATTTAATTTTTTTCATGAATGATCCACATGTTATGATATAAAAATAAATAATTTGAATTATTGAGATGAGATCCGTGATTAGTCCACTAACCCAAATAACACGATTCATTGTAAACTGGAGACAATCGTACTTTTTTTTGATTATTTAGAAAATTGATAATATGGATTGTTAATTAAATGTGCCATTAACCAAAGGGGTTAATTTGTTGGCTAAGAAAGAGTGGGTTTTTCTCCTCCTCACTTATTTCCTCAAAGAGTGGATAATATGGGTTCTCTTGAATTTATTTGCAGTTTACTTTCGTTTGTTAAATGATTTTATTGTATACTTGTGATTATGTGTTAGATAATATTTTTTTGTAATCAAATGTAATTCTTATAGTATCTATAATTAAAAAAGTTAAAAGTGTAGATAAAAAAGTGTGAAAGAATAAATTAAAGTCTTATCCTGGTTACGGCCAAAAATTCATCATAAAATTCCATGCATAATTCAACAAAATTTTATATAATTTAAAGTATAATTTTTGTGAAAAAATCTTTTAAAAATTCAATAAATACCAAAAATATAAAAAAAGGGCGAAAATTTAGTATATTTTTCGTATTTTTATGCATTTGTTAATTTTTTAAAATAATTTTTTACAAATTTTACTTTTTAGATTTATAAGTAAGGTACATCTAAAAAAGTAAAAAAAAATGCTTAAAATTTTAAAAATAGTCACTAAAAATAAAAAAACACGAAAAACAAAAAATTCAGTTTTCAAAAAACTTAATCCAGAAAATTCAAACCAAACACACTGACTTTTTTTTTTTTAAAACAATAATGATAGAGACTCTCACAAAACGGAAGTGGAAACGCTACCGTGCAGCCCGCGCAACAGCATCTGCTGTGCGGCGATTTGGGCCCATTTTAGGGCTCATTTTGATAATCCGAACCGTTGTTAATTTTTTAAAATAATTTTTTACAAATTTTTTACTTTTTAGATATATCTAAGTAAGGTACATCTAAAAAAGTAAAAAAAAATGCTTAAAATTTTAAAAATAGTCACTAAAAATAAAAAAACACGAAAAACAAAAAATTCAGTTTTCAAAAAACTTAATCCAGAAAATTCAAACCAAACACACTGACTTTTTTTTTTTTAAAACAATAATGATAGAGACTCTCACAAAACGGAAGTGGAAACGCTACCGTGCAGCCCGCGCAACAGCATCTGCTGTGCGGCGATTTGGGCCCATTTTAGGGCTCATTTTGATAATCCGAACCGTTGACATTTTAGAATACGTCAAGTAGAACATGCCTACAAAAAATCAAGTTAATCGGATATCGTTTACCTATTCATCCATTCACATTTGTATTCATTTTAATCAAGTTAAAATACATTTGTATTTATTTTTGTAGATACAAATGTGAGTGGATGAGTGGGTAAACGATATCCAATTAATTTGATTTTTTACAGGCATGTTTTACTTAATGTATTATAAAATGTAAACGGTTCGGATTATAAAAATGAGCCTCGAAATGGGCCCAAATCGCCGCACAATAGGCGCTACTGTGCGAGCTGCGCAACAGCGTCCCCACTTCCCTCACAAAACACAACCCCTAAATTGATCTGCACTATCCATATCACTATCAAAGATAGAAAGAAAAAAAAAAAATTCAAAACATTTTCCTTCTTTATGGGATTCCAAACATTTTCCCTTAAAAAATTATCCCTTCATTTACATTTTGCATCAAATTTGGTGACCTATTCATGTAGCCCAAGATTGGTCACCCTAAGCTCAGACCCTAGGGCTTGAGCCCAGATTTCAAAATCTGGCCCAACTTGAGGTCCAATTAAAAAACTGAGGTGGGGAGCCCAGTGGGGGCAGCAGGCCCATGTTTGTGATATTCAGACCAATCTAACCCAAAGAGCAAACCAAGTGGCCCCTAATCAACAACCAACCACCAATCCATCTCTAACATGTGGCTCTGTGAAGCAATCCATCTTCCATCATACGTTCTTTGCCTTATCAGCAACACTGTTTACATTTCTCTCTATCTCCCACTTCACACATCACTCTGTCATTTGCCAATTCTCTCCTCTCTCTCTCATGGCTGCCTCTACTCTCTCCCCTGCTACCCTTTCTCAGGTAACTGTCTCTTCCTTCAAATTTTTCCTTCTGATCTTTGCTTTATACATAAACCACAGATTCAAATAATGGTAAAAACTCACACTATGTATCAGTTGGCAAAACCACTGGGTTTTGAATTATCTTATAGTAAATGTAGAATTTTATCTTCTTTTTGGCAAAAAAAAAAAAAAAAAAAAAAAAAAATTTTTGGTGTTTTGCAAATTAATTTTTGTTGAAAGAATCGTATTCATGTCCTCCAGTCATACTTTTATATGTAATTTGATTTGAATCACTCTATTGTTATGGTTGGGAATAGACAAAATCAAAGTTAATTTTAATTGATTGTGTAGAATTAAAATTATGTCATAAAATTCTCAACTCAACTTTTTGAATGATCCCATTGAATGAAATTTCTAACTACGCTAGTTCTACTATACTAGTAGGTCATGTTTGTTTGGGCGGATTGGATTAGTATTCCCATGATTAATAGTCCTAAGACTACGAATCCGTTGGATTACGTATCCTATCTTAACTAATAGTCAAGTTTAAAATAATTAGTCCGTACTTTAATTGTTTAACCAAACATCGGATTAATAATTTTATTGGATTATTAGTCCAATCCCAAGCTCATGTCCACCCAAACAAACATGCCCGTAATGTATACCTTAATATACTCGGGGTGAGATGTACAGTATTAATCAATCTCCATAAACTCAACATATTACATACTAGATAGAAAGAAAATTATTGAAAAAAATTGAACTTGGAATAAAAAATTTGAAATCCTGGTATGTAAAAATGTGTCATATATATGTGTGAAAATAGATATATATATAACTGAATTTCTTTGCTTCTCTTCTATAGCCATTGATATGAGCTTGTTAAGTTGAAAACTCACTGTTTTTTTCTACCCTTCTCAGCTCTGTTCAAGTAAGAATGGGATGTTCTCTGCATCCAATGCTCAGATGGTGAAATCCACAAGGACCCATTTGGCAGGAAGGGAAAAAAACATGAAGATGATCAGGTGCCAGGCCACCAGCATTCCGGCAGACCGAGTGCCAGACATGGCTAAGAGGGAGCTCATGAATTGGCTTCTTTTGGGAGCCATTTCTCTCCCCACCGCTGGCATGTTGATCCCTTATACTAGCTTCTTCGTTCCACCTGGGTAAATTTTATTTTCTACTTCTCCTTTATTTTGGAACATCTTGGGGTGTTAAACAAACTAAGCTACTCGAACTTGACTCGTATTTAGCTCGTTAAAAGATTGTTTTTGATCGACTTGTTATGTAAATAAACTAAGCTTGAATATAAGCTCATTAAGTTTTTAAATTAAGTTTGAACAATTTACTTAAAACTCAATAAGCTATGCACTATAAAAAGTTCGTTTGAAATCGATTCATTATGTAAACAAATCACCTAAACCTTTAAAATTTTGTATGCTAAATTTTTTTAAAGGTTTAAGTGTCAAATTGACATATCAAACTTGACATATATCTCTATCCATAAAAATTAAAAAAAAATATACTCCACCTAATATGGCAAATTTATTATTTTATTGCATTAACTTTTCAAGACTTTAGGTTCGATTCCTCTACCAACCGTCCTCCTTGGTGGCCGATCTATAAGTCCAATATAAGTCTTTACTGAGGCCTGTGGCTTGCCCTGGACTGGGGTAGCCTCCCCTCGCCTAAACTTTTTGTAACCAAATAAAAAAAACTTTATTACTTTTTTATTTTAATATTTTTTGAACTCTTTTATTGGTGCTCACTATTAAAATAATAAAAATTAAAGCATTTGACATCGTTTTTTTGGTATGTTAAATTTGATATTGTTAAGACATGCGAAATTGACGCATCACTTCTGAAAATTCGGATGGAGCACAATTGAATGTCAAAATTTTATTGTCAAAAGTGCCATCATCAAACCAAGCTCGAAGAACCTACTGCTCTGCTCGGCTACCCTAGGAATATCAATTCCATTTGTTATATATATATATATATATATTTTTATACTTATGCACAGTCTCTATGTATTTTCATATTGGGACGTTTCGAATGTATTGTTGCATGTTCAGTGTTTGTAGAAATGCCCAGATTTTTCTACTGTTGAAATTTGATATCTTCTCTAATTTTATTAATTCAAATTGCTATTGACCTTAAAAAGGCTGTGTTTGGATCTTGAATGGTAATGGAAAAGAAAACGAAAAAGTGATAAAAACAGTGTTGGTTTTAAATATGACATGGTGATATGTTTCTTTGTAATTCTCAAATGTGTGTATTTGATTTTTATCCAAATGTCAATTCTTCACATTCTCAATTTCTATGTCATATAATACAGTGTTGGTTTCTGATGGGTAAATTGTGACTGGCACAGTTTTTTTTTTTTTTTTTTTCGCCTTTTAGTCAAAAATTTACATTTATGAGTATTGTGTCCAAAACAAAAAAAAAAAGTTTCTGGAACTATTTGATTTTGAGTTTGTTTGTTATTCTTTAATTGGAAACTGTGAAGGTCTGGAGGTGCCGGAGAGGGTACCGTGGCGAAGGATGCTCTTGGAAATGATGTCATTGCAGCAGAATGGCTAAAGATTCATGGACCTGGTGACAGAACTCTTACTCAGGGCTTGAAGGTACTACTCTCATTTCTTTCATCGCTGTTGTCAAAAATAGTTGCTGCAAGAAAATCTTGCCATACGAATTAGTCTCTCTGTAATATGGCTGGGATTCTCTATACTAAAAATTCTGTTTTCTTGTACCCAATACACTGTCAAACTGTAGATGTGATATGAATCTCAAAATATGGAATTTTGAGACATGTTTTGGGAAAGGGAGTGCATTAGGTATATGGGGAAACAAAGATTTCGAGTACAGAGGATCCCGTGCCATCCTATATAAAGATTATTGGCTCCTTCTTAAGATTATTGTAGAGTCCAAACTGAAACTGGGTCATACATTGTTGCTTGAGCCTGGACAGTGTTGCCTTACACCATTGTGCTATGTGGAAAAGATGGGCACAACTGAATGCATTTGGGTTGGTTGTAGCCAGCAAATTAAGAAGCACTTAACAATCTTTGACCAGAAATTGAGTTAAAGTAATACATACACCATTTTACTTCTTTTTTTTGGTTTTTAAGATTTTCAACAAGAAGTTCCTGATGGATTGGATTTTAGTTGTGTAATATCAAAACCATCTGATTTTGGTGTCAAATTCCAGGGAGATCCTACCTATCTTGTGGTGGAGAATGACAGAACTCTTGCAACCTTTGGGATTAATGCAGTCTGCACACACCTTGGGTGTGTTGTTCCATGGAATAGTGCTGAAAACAAGTTCATCTGCCCGTGCCATGGATCTCAGTACAACAACCAAGGCCGGGTTGTCAGAGGACCAGCTCCTCTGGTAAGCTTCACGTTGTTGTACCATGCCTTGGAATTTTAATTTCTCTGTCTCTCCGATAACTAACTATTGCTTTTATCTTGGAACAGTCATTGGCTTTGGCGCATGCAGATATTGATGATGGGAAAGTTCTATTCGTTCCATGGGTTGAAACAGATTTCAGAACCGGCGAGGCTCCATGGTGGGCTTAAAACCTCTATCCCAAATCTGAGCAAGATGTGAGATCGATGATACTTTGCATATAAATTTATAAACATGCTCATAGAAATGTAGTTGTTTTTTCTCTTCTGTCTTTAATCTATTGAATCAACAGTTGAAGATTTGTCTGCTTCACATGTGCAAATACTAAAAGCTTATATTCTGCTTGCGTTTTTGCCTATACATAGACTTGTTTTTGGAAAGGCCATACAAATAGCCCTCATTTATTACAAAACAAGATTAGACAACAAAAACAAAGTCTACCGGTAATATGCAGATGAAAGAAATTCTTTCGTCACTGAAATGCAGTTATTATACAAACTCAGAACACACTGAAAATATCAGAAATTGCTGCAATCTTTCACGTAGGGCATGGAATTTGGCGTTGCACGGTTTCTAAATTTCAACAATTACCCACAACAAGTTTAGCTCTGGCACGTCCAGCCTCTACCCGGAACTGTTCTCCCAAACCAAAATGGGCCACTAGTAACCAAACAAAAATGGTAAGCTCCCCACCTTTGCTGAGCTGCTGGGCATGAATCCCGCAATGAGTTGCAGCATAGGCAAATAATTCCACCCAAACTTTGCTCATTATCTGCCATTTAAACTCACTTTCCAATTTGTTCAGCTCCTTTGCGAGCAAGCACGCATCAAATAAAATGGATTTGCTTCTATCTCCCTTCATTTATGGGCAGAGACAGAATTCAATTACATCTCATTTTTTATCTCATTAGCTCTTCCATAGAATCACCACTTCTTTATTTATTTATTTTTTGGGAACAGATAGAATCACCACTTGAACAAAGAGGTAAAATTTACATAAGCCTCTTATGCCTGACTCAACTTATCTAAATTAATTTGATGGGTATAGCTGAACTAAGTTCTTAACTAAATAGCCTAATTAGTGGATAAGATACCTACTATTATCAGTACAGACAAACTTCTGAAAAAAAAATTAAAAAGTTGTCCAAATACTCCGTGCAATCTTTTTTAATATTCTTTCTATAATGAAGAACTGACTTGGGTGTCAAAACATCCGTGGCCAACCGCCGACATGGCACTAACAGTGTTCTCTTGTAGATCTTGAACATGTGGTGACTCCAATTCATCTTATCCATTTAATTATCTTATTTCTTGTTGCCATTTTGTATCATTGTTTACATGTATCCATAATTGAATTTCTTATTTAAAGATAATTATTAAAGAATTAATGAATCCAAATAATATTATACCACATATGTATATGATGGTGATATAAAAGAATCGAAAAAACAGGTGATATATAACAGCCATTTGTCTAAGCAGTGACGGACGAAGAAATTTTGTGAGAGGGGCCAAACTGATTCAATCACGACCTTGTTCTTATACAGATGAAGTAGCTAGAGATGAAGAATCAATGACAAGGTCTCAAACCATTATTCAAACCATAACTCTCCCTCCTTTATTACAAACATGATCAGAAGAGAACCAAAAACAAAATCACTCTTATTATACAGAAGAAATAAATTATTTCCTTGCTAAAATACAGTTGGAAAATGCTACATACAAGTCTATTATTTCCTGCATTTTCTTACTTATAGACACAGATGAATAGATCCAATATGCATTTACTAATATAGATTCGATTGCCTTGTGTGTACAAGAGAAAAATAGCGTAAAAAATGGAATTAGACAGTTTCCAACTTTCTTCACTTACCAACAATCAACTTAAAAATTGGTGCATCATCTTTTCTGAACTCTTTACTCAATCCAAAATGGGCCATCAACAACCAAACAAAAATGATAAGCTCCCCACCTTTTCTGAGATGCTGGGCATAAGCATTTAGTATATTATATGTATTATATTATATGTATTATATGTTAGTGCATATATATTAGCTGTAAAATACCAACTAGCTTTAATAATGTTGTCTCCTTAGTGCATGCTTTCCCGTTTCTTCTTTCGGCCACCTTTGGCCCCTTTGTAACACTCTCTCCTCTATAAAAGAGAGTCATCTGAACATTGTAATATAACAAATTCATACCATTCAATATATCTATCAATACACAATTGTTTCTCTCTCTCTTTCTCTATACATTAATTTTAACATGGTATCAAAGCTAGGTTAACAACTTAGTAATTCCGCTTCACCGGCGGGCGGCAGCCTCGCCTTGGCCGCCCGCCGGACCTCTACACATACCTTCACTCCGCTGCCACAAATTCTGCTCATAGTCCACCTTCTATGGTTTCAGGGTTAAGCCCAACACAGGCCAGACAAGCTCTAGATCTTACCACCATGTCTTCGAGCTCAGGCTCCATCATGGACCGGGCCGATCCGGTTAACCCGTCTAGGCAAGTAACATGGTTGGTGAGAACACTACTGAGCCATGAATGGGCATACTCGGCTGTCCTTTTCTCAATTGCCACCACAGAGTCCATCACTCTATCCATTGACAGTTCCATCAACTCCAGGCAATCTGCTAGAGCCCCTTGCTCTCTCTTGTCGTTGATCCGATGGCTGATACCGCCTGCTGTCTCGATAGTCTTTCGTATGCCCGATGTGGATTTCTTCAAGAAGGCCTGCAGCAAATCAGGGCCCTTCATTTGCATCAAAATTTCAGGGGGAGCAATGTTTACTTTGCTTACACTCTAGTGGGTGTCCATGGCTCCGGCCATCTCTCCTATAATGGAGCTCTTGCAGCCGTGTTCACCGAAGGGTTGTGTTCACTGAAGGGTTGATCTTCCTCTTCATTTCATCATTTGGGTTGCGCACAACACTTGCTCAACTTATTTCAAAACCAGTCCGAATCTCCTCCATCGCTGGAATCGGACTCTTCCTTGCTTTCATCGGTTTACAAAACAACCAAGGCATTGGACTCATCGCCACTTACAGCTCCTCCACAAACCCATTCTTCTTCTTTTTTATTTTATTTTATTTCTTTCTTTATCATCTGTGGGTCTTTTAATCTCTCCTTCACGCATACCCTTTTCCCCAAAGACAAAGCTACAAATAAAAAAGCATGGACAGGACTGTTCTCTTTCTCGATCCTCAGAGCTTTAAAGACATGGGTACTTTCTGAATTCTCTTCCAGAACCCCTCTCTCTCTCTCTACTTGCGTCTTCTTAAATGGGTTTGTAAGTAAGCAAATCTCTATTGCAGCTGTGCAAATCTCTCACTCCATATCTCTGTCTCCCATACGTTATATTCCTTTTTTTGTTCCTCTCTCTCTCTCTCTCTCTCTCTACACTTGTTTATTTTCTCTCTCTAACACAGAGACATGGATTCGGGTAACAGTGGGAGCATACAGTCATCGAGTGGTGGTGATGAAGAGTACGATTCACGCGCCGAATCAATCTCCTCTTTTCTCAACTCCAATATTAGTCCCATCACCAACCCACCACCACCACCATCTCACCACCACCACCACCACAACCACAATTCCTCCATGTTCGACCCACTATCAAACTACTTCGACCCCTTATCATCACGATCCTCAATTCTCGACACTGTCCCTGTGTGGTCCAAGACCCTACGATCTGATTCCAATTGCACCCAGATCAACAACCCCATCTTCCCATCACCACCGTCCGTTCAACCCTTCTTCGGCTCCTCATCATCATCACCGACTGTTCATTTCCCTCCGGTGGCAGAGAATACAGTTACAATCACAGCAACCTCACCACGAGCTTCATCATCATTGGCGACAAATAACAATGATCAGCTTCAGATTCAGAATCAGACCCATCATCACGTGCCTGTACGTAACCCAAAGAAACGATTTTTTTTTTCTTCATCTGTTTTTCCCATACAGATCTGCCTACTGCTACTCATACCTGCCTCTTTGCATCTGTAACTAGAAGAAAAACCCACATTAGCTTTATGAGATTGATCGATCAATCTGCTATCAACAATCAATCAAAGCTTTATCGATCGTCTTGGTTGAGGCTTAAATGTCGCTTTTGAATCAACTCTTCAACAGAGGCCTCCTTGGGCTGGTTTATGATATGCATGACTAACAAAAAATTCAAGACTCTGTCAATTGATTTTTCATACTTCCCATATCACTACACTGCCACCTATACGAATTCACCTCCCAATACTGCTAATTAAAATCTTGCTGATCACACCAAACTAGCTCAAGTAATGGGCTGGTTTATTACTGAAGCCAGAGCATGCTGATGCTAATGAATCAAATAACAAAATTGAATTTGTGACCTATCTACTGTCTAGCTCTCAACTGATGCATAGCCATTATGTTCTTTTTGTGTGTATAGTTTTTCAAGGTACCAAACTAGTTAGCAACATGATAGATCAACATGCTCTTGTTATGTATTAAAACAAGCTACTGATTATAATGCTCTGTCACGGATCTCTTGCGATGAATCTAAATAATAAAGTCATTTTAGAATATGTGATTGTTTTTAAAAGAATGTAGTATTTTGATGTCATTTTTTACTAGAGTTTTTTACTCAAGCCGTTGGATACAGCAATGTTACGTACCTATCAAATTTGCCTAGAAAAATACCCAGAATTTACAATCTGAAAACAAGATTCATTTGTTTCTGCCCCCACAACAACTTCAAATCTATACTGTACATGTCAAATTTGAGGCAATTTTTGGAGTAGATAGCATTTTTGGCGTTAGATTATACATGCTAATCTTGTAGTATTCTTCTGTTCGATGCCCAAGCATTGGGTTGCAGATTTTCTTTATCATGGCACTCTATAGCTTGTCTTATACAAACTCACTCCATTTTCTGTTAGTCATGCATATCATACTTTCACAGATCAAAGCAATTGAAGTTTCAGTTGATATACACTCAATTTACTTTTGCACAAAATGTTTCTCATTTACCTTCTTCTGAATGCAATTGACCAGTATGATACTACACAAGCAGATAGGAAGTAGAACAGTCAAGCTTGGGCTTACTAACCTTCAATAGTTGTGTCTCTACTATAATTTGGCACTTCATGATGTTGTTGTTCCTCAACAGATTCTATATGCTGCAAGAACACCATTATAATTGTCATTAGTTGTAGGTTAATAACTTGATATGCCAGTTCTCAGATCTGTGCTACAATTTACAACTTTCGATGAAGAGATATTCAATTTCCCATTGGAAAGACATGAAGACAAATGTTTCCCTTGATTTTTATGACATATATCTGAATGAGTGGATGTTTGAAGGGATGGCCTTAAATCTTACTCCCAAGATTTTGTTTGTTGCTTAAAATTAACTTACACCAATATTTGTGCAATTTTTTTTATGTTAATACCTGGACTTTTTTCGCATATATTTATTTAATCTAGATGACAAGGCTAAAAATGGGGTTCATATATTTGTTTATACCTTTGCTCATTCTTTTTATTGATGACGTTGAGTCTAGGTTCACTACGACGATCAAGAACCTAACGACACGTGTTTTGTTCTTAGAGTCACAGGGTGTGGCTGGGAGTATGAGCTTGAGAGAGGTGCAATACTTACAAATTAACGAATTTTACGTTTTATCAATTTGTATATATACATATGGAAATTATTAACACATTATACTAACATATTGTAGGTGTCCGATGCATCTAGTGGGCAACAAGTTTCAAAAGAAAATGAATAGGTATGTTGTAGATCGAGATGGCATCTCTTTTTGAGCATCATTTGAAATAGAATTATTGGATCTGCATCTTCTTGTATTTTTCTGCACTTAGCTGCCAGAACTTATATGTCGAAGCTTTCTAGGGATAGAATTATATGATCCACCAATCTTCTTATAAAGAGAGTGGTCTGATGTTGTATTTTTGCTGCCCTAAGCTGCCAGAACTTCTATGTTGAAGCTTTCTAGGAATAAGGTAGCCATATTATTCAATCTGTTTATCATTTCATTTAATAAATGACTTATATCTTAATTTTTTCATTTAATAAATAATAATAATTTTTTAATTAGTGTTAATGTTAATGTAAACTATGAAACTGTAAATGGAACTTGTACATTAACTAAAATGGTTTTTAGATTTAAAAGCTCCCACAAAGAGATAAGTTGTGATTAGTTGTGACTGAAAAATGGTGTGTTATAGGTTACAGCCACCTGAACAGATGCAGCTTATTTAAAATAAAATAAAAATTCAAATTTATTTTCTAAGCATCTTGCTTGCTCTTCTGACTTAATGCCTTCTATGATACACTTGTGATAATTTGTTTTGGGGGGTGTAGGAAGGCAATCAATCCTGAACACCACAAAATGGATTGAGCAGGTTCGCACTGAACGGGGCAGTGACGTTATAATTGTCATTGTTGGGAACAAAACTGACCTTGTTGATAAGAGGTAATGATTAAGAGTCTTTGTTTTAGTTTATCTTGAACGTAGTTGATTATCCCCTTTCCTAATGCATTCTCTTATATCAAAATTTTGTTTCGATATGCTGTTTAAGTTCGCTTGGAAACTGAAATGTTTCAGAAATGTTTTAACACAAGGAAAAAATAAAAAAGGGAATATATGGAATTATTTGGAAATAGAAACTAAAGCCAATATAAATGTTCATATGAGCCCAATAATACTAAAGCCAATATAAATGTTCATATGAGCCCAATAATACTAAAGCCAATATAAATGTTCATATGAGCCCAATAATACTAAAGCCAATATAAATGTTCATATGAGCCCAATAATACTAAAGCCAATATAAATGTTCATATGAGCCCAATAATACTAAAGCCAATATAAATGTTCATATGAGCCCAATAATACTAAAGCCAATATAAATGTTCATATGAGCCCAATAATACTAAAGCCAATATAAATGTTCATATGAGCCCAATAATACTAAAGCCAATATAAATGTTCATATGAGCCCAATAATACTAAAGCCAATATAAATGTTCATATGAGCCCAATAATACTAAAGCCAATATAAATGTTCATATGAGCCCAATAATACTAAAGCCAATATAAATGTTCATATGAGCCCAATAATACTAAAGCCAATATAAATGTTCATATGAGCCCAATAATACTAAAGCCAATATAAATGTTCATATGAGCCCAATAATACTAAAGCCAATATAAATGTTCATATGAGCCCAATAATACTAAAGCCAATATAAATGTTCATATGAGCCCAATAATACTAAAGCCAATATAAATGTTCATATGAGCCCAATAATACTAAAGCCAATATAAATGTTCATATGAGCCCAATAATACTAAAGCCAATATAAATGTTCATATGAGCCCAATAATACTAAAGCCAATATAAATGTTCATATGAGCCCAATAATACTAAAGCCAATATAAATGTTCATATGAGCCCAATAATACTAAAGCCAATATAAATGTTCATATGAGCCCAATAATACTAAAGCCAATATAAATGTTCATATGAGCCCAATAATACTAAAGCCAATATAAATGTTCATATGAGCCCAATAATACTAAAGCCAATATAAATGTTCATATGAGCCCAATAATACTAAAGCCAATATAAATGTTCATATGAGCCCAATAATTAAATAATTAAACATATTTAAGGTCTATAGATCCTGGGAAATGGAAATATTTCAACCATTTTGATGGTAACGTAACAAAATTTTGTTCCTTGAGCTCAATGGATACTTTAGTCATATCTTGATTTTGGAAGCTGTCATGTTTGACGATGAGGGTTTAGGTCTTCAAAACACAACATTTTGTAAATCCATGGATCTTTGGATTCACAACTTTGGATTCACAACTATCTTTTTAGTTAAATATTAACTGTAAGATAGGAAAATAACACATGGAACAAAGTGTAAAGGAAAAGGTGTAAGCTCAGTCATTTGTGGATGAAATGTAGTCTTGGGTATGTTCATGGTGATTTGTGAAAATTCAACCATAGAAGAGCTAAATGTCCTCCTTTTTGATAAAATAAATAAATAAATAAAAGCTAAATGTTCTTTGTTTTCTTTTAGAAAAAGATGGAAGTCATTTCAAAATGTATGATAAGCATGCTTATGACATAATTTAGTTTGGTGGTAGAAGAGCAGTACGATAAAAGATAGAAAAAATTGACAGAAAAAACTGACGAGTGGAGTATACAGTGTCATGGCTAAAACCTTTGTTTTGGAAGTCTGGTAGGTAAAAAGATGTCAAACCAAATGCAAATGGAAAGGGTACTAATCACATAATTCTGTAGATTTGTAGGATCTTCTACTACATTAGCTTCTTTCTATCTTAGCAGGAAAATTTTGGAATTAGTATAAGTTCATTTCTGTGTTTTTGTTACTTCAGTTAGTGCCTCTACATATTTAGCATCTCCAATGATGAGTTTTCCTGAATAGCTTCAATTTTATCTCTGAGATTAAGGAATGCCAAAAGACTATTATAATTTTGCACCTGCATTTTGAGTATTTTGCCTTTGTTCTCATAATATTAACATTCTCACTCTATTGAATATTGCTGCATGTGTGGCCAATACATTATTATGCCTCATATCCAGTGTTGAGTAAAAGGAATGTGAACTTCTGAATTTTGTACCAAAAATATGGTTGCTTTAATTGAGCTGAAGCAAAATCCATGTTTTTAAAGAAGGAAAGGACTGTTTGGGTCCTTTGGGATGCTGTGAACAGTGCCTTCAGAACAGTACCTTAAGATCAGGTTTGGTTGAGAAACTAAATAAGAGGAAGACTAGGGATTTAGTGCTCACTTTAGAGATTATATGAGCTGAATGATTAGCTGAATAGTTTCACAGATCAAAGAATAGAAACAACAATTATTTAAAATGTAATAATTTGTTTTTAACATTCGTTTATTTCTTTAAAAAATGTGATTTGTTCTTTATTATTTAGACATTTAACCAGGTCTGACATTGTTATTTCCTCATTATTATGTTTGTTTTTTTGTTCATTTAGGCTTTTGGAGGTGATGATTCAGATGTTGGATCCCCCAGGATTAATCTCACAGCAACAGCAAAATCAAATCCTCCTGTAGATTCTCAGTCACTTAGAGAGTCTGACATTCAATTAAATATGTTTCTTTTAGATTTTATTTTATTATTTTTTTTTTTTTAGGATTTGGGTGAATTTTATAATTTAAATATGCTTTTATGAACATGTACAGTTTAATTGTTCTTTGTAAAATATTGAATTTGATGGTTTGATCAATTTAAATTTTTATTTTTATTTTTTGTTATGATGTTTTTGTGAATAGAATGTAAATAATCGTCTCTTAGAGAGACGGCACCACCGTCGGAAGAAATAGAAAATTTTAATATTTTTATTAATTTTGTTACAGGTTTTACTTTTTGCGACGACATTATATTGTCGTAAAAAATAGAAATTTTATTATTTTTTAATATTTTTTGCGACGGCATTACACTGTCGCAAAAAATAGAAAATTTCATATTTTTTATATTTTTTGGGACAGCACCACACCGTCGCAAAAAGTAGTGTTTTTTTTTAAAAAAAGACTATTGGCGACGGTATTTTTTGCCGTCTCAAATAACATTTTTAGCGACGGTAAAATAGGGCCGTCGCAAAAAAGTCAAGAAATTTCAAACGTTATTAGCGACTGCACGGTGCCGTCGCAAAAAGGCAAAAATGCCGTCGCAAAACATTAGCGACGGCACTTACCGTCGCAAAAACTCTTTTGCAACCCCCGCAATTGCGACCCTCCTCTTGCCGTCGCAAAAAGTTATTTTGCCGTCGCAAAAAGTATTAGCCACGGCATTAGGAGTATTAGCGACGGTATTTTACCGTCGCAAAAAGTCATTTTTTTTGTAGTGCTATATGCAAAAACTACAAAATTTATTTTATTATTTTATCATGTGTATATCAATTTAGCTAAAGGCTTCAAACAAATTGAAACTTTAGACACACACACACACACACAAAAAAAAAAGGTTATAGATCTACAAATTAATATGGCATATCAATTAGGATTTTTGAAATGGATGCAGGGGCTATGGCCGCCTAGCCACCCCCCTTGTCCACCAATGTGTCCAGGTGGCACATCTGATTCAATCACGACCTTGTTCTTATACAGATGAAGTAGCTAGAGATGAAGAATCAATGACAAGGTCTCAAACCATTATTCAAACCATAACCCTCTCTCCTTTATTACAAAGATGAAGTAGCTAGAGATGAAGAATCAATGACAAGGTCTCAGACCATTATTCAAACCATAACCCTCTCTCCTTTATTACAAACATGATCAGAAGAGGACCAAAAAAACAGTCACTCTTATTATACAGAAGAAATAAATTATTTCCTTGCTAAAATACAGTTGGAAAATGCTACATACAAGTCTATTATTTCCTGCATTTTCTTACTTATAGACACAGATGAATAGATCCAATATGCATTTACTAATATAGATTCGATTGCCTTGTGTGTACAAGAGAAAAATAGCGTAAAAAATGGAATTAGACAGTTTCCAACTTTCTTCACTTACCAACAATCAACTTAAAAATTGGTGCATCATCTTTTCTGAACTCTTTACTCAATCCAAAATGGGCCATCAACACCAAACCAAACCAAGCCTTAAGTCCCATCGAATGGGGTCGGCCATCAACAACCAAACAAAAATGACAAGCTCCCCACCTTTTCTGAGATGCTGGGCATAAGCATTTGGCCTGCAATGACTTGCAGCATAACACAATAGTTCTACCCAAACTTGGCTCATTATCTTCCACATCCTCTTAGTTCTCAATTTCTTCAGATCCTTTGCACGAATATATGCATCAAATGTGTTTAGTTTGAGTTTTTTGAATTAAGTTTTTTGAAAATTGAGTTTTTTGGTTTTTGTGTTTTTTGATTTTTAGGGAATATTTTTAAAATTTTAAACATTTTTTTTTACGTTTTTAGATGCACCTTACTTAGATGTATCTAAAAAGTAAAAAATTTGTGAATTTTTTTTTTTTTTTACGTTTTTAGATGCACCTTACTTACGTTTTTTGGTTTTCAATTTTTTTTTTGTATTTTTTGTATTTAGTGAATTTTTAAAAGGTTTTTTTTTTAATTTTTTTTTACTTTTTAGGTATATTTATGTTAGATATGTCTAAAAATTAAAAAAATTACTTAAAATATTAAAAAAATTCAGTAAAATAAAAAAACACGAAAAATAAGAAAGTATAATTTTTTAAAAAGTGTTTTTAAAAAATAATAACCAAGCATGGTGAGATTTGCTTTTCTCACCCTTCAGTTCAAGTAGAGCATCACAAGCTGCTTCCTCCTGTTTTTTTATTATTGATTCTCTTCCATTAAAGAACTTCTTGAATTTTTCGTAGATTGTTTGTGGGCTCGAGGCTGATCCCCTATCAAGTTTCACATTATTGTCGATCTTCCTCAGCAATTTTGTTGTCAAAAATATTCAAATAACAGGTTTCCTTAGCATTGTGGAGACGCCGTGTGATATATGCCTTCCGTATGATTAGAAAAAATCTTTCCTCAGAATTTTCCCACTTAAAAAATGTCAGGACAGGTAAAGACTTGCTGTAAAGCTCAGCCTTTCTTGAGGAAACATGAAAGTACATACAAGCCATGTTGCATTTGAATGGTACTACTGCTCAATTTATATAGAAAAGCCAGAATTATGAGCAATACAAGAAATGGTAGTATTATATGTGAGGGGTGCAATTAAGGCGGCTGCGAGGTTGGAGGGTATTAGGTGGCTAGCTATCGGTTTTCATGGTGGTGGGGGAGAGGTGCCGGGTGGGTTGGGCAGACGATGAAGGTGAGTTGGGTGAACTCGGAGTGAGTTAACTCAGTGAGCTAAATTAGAGAAAGAAAAAAGTAAATAGACTATTTTGTCCCTAAAAATTGTTTTATTTTTTTTTTCGTGCATAAATAAGATTGCCATTAATGGTTGGACTAATTTCGGGAAATTCTAATGTACACACGTTTGAAAAGGGTGTACCATATGCACCTCTAGATATATTTAGTTATGACCAATTTTCTTCTTTAGTTATGATTATTGAGTTCTTTAGTTATGCCTCATGTTGTGTTTAGTTATGACATTCATTTATTTTTTTAGTTATGACTCAGAAATTATAAAGTTATGTCAATTTTTTATTTAGTTATAAGGTGGATGTATACCATGGGTGATTATTCAGTATTTTCAGAATATGGACACGTGGTGCTCCATAAAGTTTTTATTGGTAGAGAGGGGTAGGGGCCACGATTTATGTTGGAGATGGGTAACAATATAGGGGCTAGGTAATTAGTGATTGGCTTAGAGTGTGATGTTCCGAAATTATTAAATAATTTCCTGTATACCATAGTGTTTTCCACAAATTTGACACAAAAGTTAAAATTAAAATGCAAATATGTTGCAATTAAAAAGATAGAAACTAAATAAAAAATTAGAGAAAATTATGAGGACCATTGATGAAATTTGACCAATGTAAAATATAAAGAGATTAGAAATCTTTGAAAGACTAACAATTCTTCCCATACTAGAAACCAGTCCACTAAACCAACATCACCAATATTTATAGTGAGGTAATTCTTCTAATAAGATGCTCTTCTCTTATAATAAGATGCTCTTCTCTAATTTAATTCACGGGACTTCCACGAATATATTTACAGTAAAGACAGTGCAGAGAATTTATGCACAAAATTAAATTGAGAAAGACAATGTGGGATTCAAATTCTTACAGATGCACAGTGAAATCAACGGCTTGAATGAATTTAAACCACACATTTATTTATTTTTGTTTTTTGTGATTTGATTCTTATTAATATTACAATAAAGTTCAATAAATTATAATTAATACAGAAACTCCCCAAAGTGGGAAAGAAAAGCTCTAATAAACACAGCACTGAGTGAGGTGGTGGAGTTGTAGTATGGTATATGAATTTAAACTCCACATCAAAAGTTTATTTTTTTTTTCTTTGTAGGAATTCTATGTATTTGTAGGGTCATTGCTCATTATTTGGGTCATTTCAGGCATTTTATTCTTCGCTCGTAGGTGGTCTAAAATCACCAAGGATTCTCTAGAGTTTTTTTTTTTTCTAAAGTTTCTTAAAGTGGTGTATTGTATGGGTGAGATTTAATGCTAAAAGATTGACGTGACTTGTCATTAAATCTCAACCATACAACACACCACTCTAAGAAACTTTAGGAAAAAAAAACCCTAGAGAATCCTTGTGTATAGAACTCGCAGAGATCTGTTCTCCCATCTCTTCTCCCAAACCAAAATGGGATACGAGTAACCAAAGAGAAGTAATAAGCTCCCCACCTTCGCTGACCAGTTTGGCATGAGCATTTGCTCCACAATGAGTAGCAGCATAGTACAACAAATCGAACCACACATTGCTCATTATCTCCCATCTAGTCTCGGATTGGAACCCATTCATCAGATCATCAGCCAGCATGCATGCATCATGTAACAATGATTCGCCTCTTTCTATCGTCTTGGATAGTACTGAATCTAGTATCTTGCTGACAAGATCTTCTGAGAGTGATGATTCTGTTTTTGGTTTTCTTCTTCTTGGAAGGGGATTCGAATTGTTGGTGTGTGAATCTAGGATCATTTTGACATCATTGAACATTTTTGTACACATGTCTCGGATTCTGATTTGTTGTATACCAGGCACTGTTGACGTCATTGTAGGCTGCATGACAAGAAGATACAACATGTACTCTGATAGGATCTTACAAAATTCCCTATTATTAGCATTTGGTTCATCACGGAAATAACATATTTCGGTAGCAATGTGCCACATCAAAAGCTTTCGATCATATTCAACTTCCTTGCTCGTGCTATATCTAATCCAGAGGGGAATGAAACAGTTTTGCCCCCAAAGGTCCTCTGCTGGTAATTCTGTATCTTGTGATTTACGACGGGGATCAGCCTTTTCCTTCAGCTTCTTAAAGATGAGGCTCTTGAGATCAGTTTTCTGTAAACGTTCAGTTCTTATGTACTGTATCTCATAGAGGAAATTGTCGAGTCTGAAAATTTCTACTGCTTTATCAAACCATTTGAATCGTCGTTGGTGGATGTTGATGCAGTAACTGATCAAACTGTGTTGTGGGATGAAGTTGAACCGTTGGGATCTTTTGTCATACAAAAAAAACATTTCCTGGATCTCATTAACGATATTTTTGGCTTTGGGATTACTAAGCAAAACTACTGTCCAGTGAGAGAAGATGAGCATGAGGAGTGATACCAAGTCCAAGCCAACAGCACCAATAAGCAGAGTGTAGGTGACAACAATATCAAAGTGGTGGAATTGGTGTTTATGATGGGATGATGCAAAGAGTGCAAAGGAAACCACAATCAAAAAAGAGAAGATGAAGCGGAGAAAGTAGCCCGTCCAACAATGCACCACTTCCATCTTGGTGTAGAGCACATCGTAAAAGAAATTGAGCTCCGCTTCTATGACCCTGAAAGCATCTTCGGATGACCTCTTAGAAAAGAAGCTATAACTCGCAAGCTCACGGAAGCGAGGACTCCGGCTAGCAATTAGTCCCCTGAGAATTTGCAACAAGTTGTACCCATTTTCCAACACGTCAATGCCAGTGAGGGATGCTTGGCTTTCTTCATCACCGAAGTGATCAGAAAATCGTTCCAACTCCCACGACGCAACAACGCTTTGATGCATAGAAACGTCAAAACTACCCAAGTATGCTAGATATTGAGCACGTGTTCGCTCAGCGTACTTAATAGTTCCAGCAAAAAACACGAGGACTGTTGGGATCCAAATTTGGTTTGGAAAAGACTGCAAAAAGACGTAAGCAACTACGGCAAGCTGGATGACAAGGCCAACAAAGTGTCGAAGCCATAGTCCATTGTCTTCGAAGGAGAAAGCAGTAATGGTATCCGGACCACCAAGGTGTAGCAAAAGAAATGGAGCCCAGAAAGCAAGCAGGTCCTTGTTTACACAATAATTGTCACAATTATTGGCTTGGTAATGGGAGATGAGTCCGATAGCAAAGACTGCGACCCAGTCTGCGAGCAGATAAGCCCCCCAGATCAGCAAGATTATGATTTTGTTTCCTCTACGTTTTCGCAACGGTGCAATGAAAACCAACAATATCTGGAAGTAGAGGCTGACGAGAATAGCAACCCGGAGATTCCATTTATACCACGTCATTTTTGCCCAAGCCATGCTCTACACTCTCAACTCCAATCCTGTTCAGCACATCCTAATTAGTTCCACAAGGAACAAATTAAAGGTAAATTACTAATACGTCCTACTTTTGAGACTTATTACCTATTAAGTTCTAGTAATAAATTTATCACTCTCTCTTATTTTTATGAATAAATTTACAATGATAAATTTATCGGTTAGAACCAGTAGGTAAATAAATCTAATTAATAGGATTGATTGATAACTGTTTCAAAAATTAAGCCACAATATCCTTTTTTAATTGGGTGTTTGGTAACGTCCATAAAAATCACATTTTTTAAAAAAAATTTGTCCTATTTTTTTATTTAAATTATGTCAATTTTTTTCATAAATAGAAAAAAAATTTTAAAAAAAATCCCAAAAATCATTTTTTTTTGGGGGGTCCATTCTGGACATTATAAAAAAAAAATTTAGTCTGCTTTTAAATTTCTTATATAACTCCATCTATCTTATTAAAAAAGTATGTCAAATAGAATTTTAAACCTAGGTTTTTGTTTTTTACTTATAGGTTTTGTTTTAATATTTTAATCAAAATTTTTTACTTTTTAGATTCACTTAATCTAGATATACTTAAAAAATATAAAATTTATGAATATTTTACAAAAATTTAGTATATTTTCATATTTTTTTTTGTATTTATTGAATTCTTTATATATTTCTTTACAAATATTTTACTTTTTAAGTACATATCGATTAGTTGCATTTAATTTTTTTTGAGACTAAAATAAAAAATAAAAAATCACCAAAAACAACAAAACATGAAAAATTAAAAAAACGTAAAAATTACTTTTAAAAATTCAAAACCAAATATAAAAACTTCCACTTAAAACATTTCCACCCATTTGTAAATCTTTGCCTCTAGTTTCCACTGACATAATATTTTTCCCTATCTTAGAAATGTATAAAGACAACAAAGCAACGTCGGACAAGTTCAAAAGAGCTATTGTCTCAATATCCTATTACAATTATAGAGAAATTATGTGTGCCTAACTTTTTGACTTAATATTTTACGCACACTTACATGCCATATGAGTGTATGCCTAAAATATTAGGTAGAAAATTAACTCTAACATTGCTCAAAATTATATTGTCGAAAGATATAACACGCAAAAATGCCATGATCTAGAACACCAAAACACACCCTTATACTTGTGCTCTTCGGATGAAAAATCAAATTTAAACAAAAGCTAACTAGAAATTGAGCATTCCTTTTCATTAATTGTGTTGTTGCTAATTGAATTTGTATTTTATTATTTATTTTTATTTATTTATTTCAATCGGTTGAAATAATTACGAAGATAACTACATTTAGATAATCATAATCTAAACTATTATATAAGCCCAACAATCAGCTCAACAAAGAGCCCCCACAACAAGGGAGTGATAAATAACATAACAAATAGCTCTATAATAGAAGAGAAAATCGCTTTGAGGCACATTACAGGCGTCATTGTCCTTAAAACGTTATTTGCCCTAATAGATTAGGGCTAAGCATTAAATCCAAAAAAATCGTAAATCGGTTTGATCCAAACCAAATTGCACTGTTTAGTTTAGTTTTCTCAATGCATGATTTGGTTATAGTTCTTAAAATAGGTGATTCATGGTTTGATTTGTGGTTTTATAATTATGGTTCGGGGTTTGGAACTAAACCGGACCATTTAGATATATACATATACTAATGCATGCTCATGTCTGAAGGTACGGTGTAAATAAAATAAGTGAACAAAAAAGAGAATAAAAAAAATAAAGAAATATGGAGAAAAATAAAATGTAAGAAAAAAGAGGGAGGAAGGTGCATGAGAGAAATTCGCGCACCAAATACATCAACTAGCCAGAGAGCTTCTATCATTGACTAGCCCGTGGCTTTTAGCAATGTGGGGCCTAGACATAGTGGGACCAGTTCCAACTGTGCCCGGTAACAGAAAGTAACAACAAGGGAGAAAAGAAGGTGGGTGAGCGGGAATTAAAGAAATATTAACCCTAGGATGAATTTGGGAATTTATCTAAACCGTTAATGTATATGTGATGCATTTTGGACATTTTCAAAAACCCTCTTACCTTGTTATATAGATATAATTTGTTATTTATGGCATGCACAATATTTTATTAGTATCCTATCTATATTAGTAAGTTGTTAACCATTTACTTACAAATGTGTTTTTATATAATAGTAGAACTAGCTCTAAACAATTATTTAAACAATTTTATTTGTAAAATGATGATATATTACTTGATCTTTGAACAAGTTATGATTATGTTGTGAATAATAACGAAGTTCATAAAAACCGTGGTTCGTCGAACTGTGTTTTCATGGTTCGGTTTGGCTTGATTTGGTTTGGTTCCAAAATTTTTATGGTTTGATTTGGTTCCAAAATTTATGAAATCGTAGGTAGTGGTTTGGTCTTGATTTATTTCAAAACCAAATTGAACCGAACCATGTTCACCCTTACCACATATAGGTCATGTTTGTTTCGCGGCTTGAGTGGCTGGATTGGACTGCCATGGCTGTGGGTCCCATCCACAATGTGTTTGGTAGTGAAATGGGAGAGCGAATTGATAGTCCAAGGAGCTTAATAATCTCCCTCAATAGGGGGATTATCTTGGCAGGGTAGAGTATGGGATTAGAAAAATAATGAGCGGATTGAGTCTATTTTATATAAAAATTTATTTATTTTTTTACCAAATGCACGTGTTTATTTTAATATTTGTCTTATTTTTTTAATATAGAAATACTTATTTATTTATTTTGTATAAAAATAATTTTACAATCCCATTATTAAACATCTCTCACACTATCATCAAAACAAATACAATTTTACTTATTCCCCTCACTAATAATCTCTTCACTAACCATCCTCTCACAAACAATCTATCCAATCTAAGGTACAATGAAGCCCAGCCAAAATTGTTTGTCAATCTGCCTTTTACACTTAAAATTGACCCAAAATACCTTCAGTGATGCACAAAATAGAACATGTTTTGGAATTTGTTTATGCAAAAAACAGAACCTAGAGATGAAAGAAAAAAAATGATAATAAATTGTCGAATACGAAACCTTGTGAAAATAGGAAGAGCAATAAGAATTCTTCGGGTGTTTTTTGAATGCCTAATCTGATCTATAGATTAGAACATGACTAAACCCTAATAGTCATGTCCTTAATTTTGAATTTAAATAAAATAACAGTCCTGCATTGTCATTTAATAGTTACTCTATAACTGTCATCATGACAGTTTGAAATTTGGCCGTTTGATCGTATTTTGTAGTGTTTTAACTGTTCGATCATGATAGGAAAACTTTTGTCCTCCTTTTTCTATATGAGACAAGGCTTCATAAAGACAATAAAAGATGCAAGAAAAGAAGTTTAGAAAAACTCAAAAATCCAAAACAATATTTAAATATTTTGAAAACATTTTAACACCTATGTCGTCGTCCCTCTACCCTTGCCTGCCATTTCATTTCGAAATCACATTGAAACACACACAGAGAGTAGAGAAAGATTGGAAGAAGATGGAAATGGGAGAGAGGAGGGAAAAGTCCATCTTACCCCTAGAAAATGGTCACACGTCGTACAAGTGAGTAATTTCATTTAAAAAATGAGACGGCCATCCTAAATCGTCCTTAGGTAACACAAATATTAAAATTTAAGATCACAATTGAAAAGTCAATAATCAAATTGATACAAAAAGACAAATTTAAGGACTATCAATATAATTTATCCAACAAAAAATTATAACTGATGGGGATGAATATTACAAATTCAAATTTTCATTTGGCCAACGTGGATGTTTGAAAGAAAGAAAAGTAAATAAATACATATCAAAACACTTGCAAAGAAAGTTTTAAAACTGATTATGCCAATGCCAACCAAACATTGTCACAAGTGTAATAAATAAATAAATAAATGCAATATGCATATATATATATATATATCTCAATAATATAATTGGCATTCATTCTTGAAGAGAAAGGATAGGTAAATGGAAACGGGAATTAAAATTACCTCCTTGTTGTGGCGATCTTCTTCCTCCACCTCCTCCTATTTTCTCCTCTTGTTGATTATTATTTTTTTGGGTGAATAAGTTGATTATTATTTCAACATATATAGTATTTTTTTCTGTTCTTTACTTGATTGCTTGAGAGAATTCTTTTGTTCTAAGTTATACTTATTCTATTGTAGCAAGCATTAAAGCAAGAAAAAGAATCATCTTCATGTTGTGTTTCTTATTTCTCTTATTCTTTCTTGCTTTGTTGCTTGGGGGAATTTCTTGTAATTGGTTATTTGGCAATATGCTAAAATAGTAAAAAGTTAAAAAGTTATTAAAATAATTAAAAAATCAACGTGATAGGAGCTGTGTTTACTGATATCACTGTTAGAAGAGAAGTATGATCACAGCTGTTGATTGCAGAAAATGATGAACTTGAACCATCCAGTTGAAAGACCAACCTTTTTTTGGTACAAAAAATTAATATGCATATACGTTACTCTATATATCAGTCAGGAGTATTGTCCCTTAGCACCCACAGCGCTGGAATTGAAGCTAAGGCCCCACATGCTCTAAGTGCTAAGAAGTGTATTTAACCACAAGAAGATGTTATGGAGACTCGAATCCATACTTTAAGTGAGGAATCTGAAAGTTTTACCACTAAACCAATCCCTCTTGGCGAAAGACCTAACTTTAGAGAAGCCATAATTGAACGAATTTGGTACGACTTATTATCGTAAAAAGGCTAAAAGTATTCTTCTCAATTTTTATTTTTATTTTTAATTTATTTAAGTTATTTTCACTTAATAAATTGTAAAAAGAAGTTAAATCAAATAGTGCACAATCTATTAAAATAATAATAATTTATAAACAATTCATATAAATTGTACCAAACAGTCCCAATGAAGCCAATTTCATGTGTAAAAAAAAATAAATTGAACAATTAATTCAAGTGAATATTTAATGTATATGTGATATCACGGGTTATCACCATCTGATAAGCAATTAGGAATAATTTGTTACTAAGTTATTAAGAGACGAGACATATCTACTTAATCCATCTGCACCTTCTATTGGCTGGGACCATTACACTCAATATTTTTTCCTATTAATTCCTCTGCTTACACTCTGTCAATTTAGTCTTCTTAATTTTAATTTATTTTTAATTTTTTCATCAATGTTAATTTATTCCAATAAAAAATAACTACACCATGAAAAAACAGTCAAACCCATGACAGAAACAGAACTTTAAAGAAATCCAATTTCAATCCCATAATTTCAAACAGGACTACAATCTTCCCTACCAAAGGATTCAAAACCTCTAAATACAATCCCTAAACAATATCTAGCTTTCTCTCATTTTAGGTAGCATTTGATTCATTGTATTGTTATGGAATAAATTTGTTCAAATTTCTTGTAAAGTGCTATAAATAATGATCTTAAACATATTTTTCTTGGCAGCCACATTGTCTCTTTTGCCCTGCCTTTCCCACCCACATTGAAAAAGATACACGTAAGGGCTCAATGTGTGGTTCCAACCATGCACAATCCAATTGGGAGTCTTTCTGTCAAACCAAAATGAGCCATCCATAACCAAACAAAAGTAATAAACTCACCACCTTTGTTGAGCTGCTGGGCATGAGCATTTCCTCCACAATGAGTTGCAGCAGATGACAACAATTCTACCCACACTCAGCTCATTATCTTCCATCTCCTCTTACTTCCCAACTTGTTCAACTCCTTAGCAAGATTAAATCCATCAAACAAAACCGATTTGCATCCGCATTCTGCTACGTTATCCTTTCTAGCATCAATTCTGATTGTCTACTTTGAAAGAATTTCTTGAAATTTTCAAATATGTTTTGGGGCTTAGAATTCGTTTGTGTTTTCAAGACCTTTTTGGCTTTATCATATGTGTGCTGAATTCTGATTTGCGCTATACCTTGCACCTCTGACATCATTGCAGGCTGCATGACAATAAGATACAGCATATAATCTGACAAAATCTTACAAAATTCTCTATTTTGGCTATTTATTTCTTCATCGCTATCTTCACCTTTGTGACGAAACTCTTACTCAGGGCTTGAAGGTACTACTCTTATTTCTTTCATCGCTGTTGTCAAAAATAGTTGCTGCAAGAAAATCTTGCCATACGAATTAGTCTCTTTGTAATATGGCTGGGATTCTCTATAAAAATTTTGTTGTCTTGTGCCCAATACATTGCCAACTGTAGATGTGATATGAATCTCAAAGTATGGAATTTCGAGACATGTCTTGGGAATGTGAGTGCATTAGGTATATAGGGAAACAAAGATTTCAAGTACAGATGATCCCATGTCATCCTATATAAAGGTTATTGGCTCCTTCTTAAGATTATTGTAGAGTCCAAACTCAAACCGGGTCATACATTGTTGCTTGAGCCTGGACAGTGTTGCCTTACACCATTGTGCTATGTGGAAAAGATGGGCACAACTGAATGCATTTGGGTTGGTTGTAGCCAGCAAATTAAGAAGCACTTAACAATCTTTGACCAGAAATTGAGTTAAAGTAATACATACACCATTGTACTTCTTTTTTTTGGTTTTTAAGATTTTCAACAAGAAGTTCCCGATGGATTGGATTTTAGTTGTGTAATATCAAAACGATCTGATTTTGGTGTCAAATTCCAGGGAGATCCTACCTATCTTGTGGTGGAGAATGACAGAAGTCTTGCAACCTTTGGGATTAATGCAGTCTGCACACACCTTGGGTGTGTTGTTCCATGGAATAGTGCTGAAAACAAGTTCATCTGCCCGTGCCATGGATCTCAGTACAACAACCAAGGCCGGGTTGTCAGAGGACCAGCTCCTCTGGTAAGCTTCACGCTGTTGTACCATCCCTTGGAATTTTAATTTCTCTGTCTCTCCGATAACTAACTATTGCTTTTATCTTGGAACAGTCATTGGCTTTGGCGCATGCAGATATTGATGATGGGAAAGTTCTATTCGTTCCATGGGTTGAAACAGATTTCAGAACCGGCGAGGCTCCATGGTGGGCTTAAAACCTCTATCCCAAATCTGAGCAAGATGTGAGATCGATGATACTTTGCATATAAATTTATAAACATGCTCATAGAAATGTAGTTGTTTTTTCTCTTCTGTCTTTAATCTATTGAATCAACAGTTGAAGATTTGTCTGCTTCACATTTGCAAATACTAAAAGCTTATATTCTGCTTGGTTTTTGCCTATACATAGACTTGTTTTTGGAAAGGCCATACAAATAGCCCTCATTTATTACAAAACAAGATTAGACAGCAAAAACAAAGTTCAAAAGCCATTTTTGATTTGATTTTCTGAAACTAATTTTTGAAAATAAAAAAATAGAAATTAATTTGATAAAAATAAATATCAAAAATATATTTTTGAAGTTTTAAAAAATATTTCAGCACTCCAAAAAAAAAAAAAAAAAAAACTATATAAAAATGACAAGTGTTTTTTTATTTTTTTCATTTTTTTTGCTAAATTAATTTTTAGTTTTCTAAAAACAATTTCTAAAAATTGATTCTGAAAATCAAACCAAACTATCTCCCTTTAGGAAAAATGAAAATACAAGCCATGTCACATTTATATCGTATTGCTCACAATTTATTTAGGAAACATAATTACCAAAATTTGAGCAAGGTATTATATGAAATGGTGCTTTGCATATTGATGAAGTTAGAATATGTATAACTTTCACTTGATCCACAAGACTTACAAAAGGAAGGTAAAGATAAATCTCAAGTGGACTCCGGTGTGGTGTCGGTCAAAAATTATCTTAGTGTACTTAAGAGAATTTAGGGTTTTATTAACATTGTTTATATCATTCCCTTCATGCCTTTTGATTTTATGAAATGCGAGAAGAGTAATATTCCATTGATATTGCACTATAATTGGTTCATTTTAAGAATTCGACTAGAAGCCTGACTGATTGGAAGTCACATCATGACTCTCATCCTCGTCGTCTGCCCATCACATATAAATTTGTAAATTAATATGATTAATTTTCGATAATTTCCTTAAAAAACCAAAGACAACAATAGCTCTTCCATAGAATCAGCACTTGAACAAACAGGTAAAATTTACATGAGCCTCTCAAGCCTGACTCAACTTATCTAAGTTAATTTGATGGGTGTAGCTCAACTTAGTTCCTTACTAAATAGCCTAATTGGAGGATAAGATACCTACTATTATAAATACAGACAAATTTTTGAAGAAGAAAAAAAAAATGATAAAATACTCTATACAATCTCTTTTAATATCCTTTTATAATGGAGAACTAACTTAGGCGTCAAAGTATATGTCACCGACCGCCGACATGACACTAGCAGTGTGCTCTTGTAGATCTTGAACATGTAGCGACTCCGATTCATTTTATCCATTCAATTATCTTTTTGTCACCATTTTATATCATTGTTTATATGAATATTTATGTTTGATTTTTTTAGTTGAAGATAATTGTTAAAGGATTAATGAATACTAATGATATCATATCAAATATGTATAAGTTGGTGATATAAAAGAGTCGAGAAAACATATAATATATAAGAGCCATGTGTTCAATTGGCACATCTTATTCAATCATGACCTTGTTCTTATATAGATGAAGTAGACAGAGATGAAGAACCAAAAAAAAAAAAAAAAAAAAAAAAACAAAAGAGGCTTGGGATATCTTACAAACTATTCATGAGGGCACTCCTTCTGTTAAACGCTCAAAACTTCAAAGACTCACATCTAGTTTCGAAAATCTTTCAATGAAAGATAGTGAGACCTTTGATGAATTTTATGCGAAGTTGAGTGACATTGTAAATTCTAGCTTCAATTTAGGTGAAAAAATTCTAGAATCCAAATTTGTGGGAAAAATTTTGAGATCCTTGTCCGATCGGTTCCAACCAAAAGTTGCGGCTATTGAGGAGGCTCAAGATGTTGACAACCTCGAGCTGGATCAGTTGGTTGGAAACCTTCAAACTTATGAAGCACATAGGAATTTCCAAAAGAAACAAAAAGACCCTATTGCTTATAGTAGTGCTCATAAAGTGGAAGAGGATTCTGATGAGGATTGTGATATAGAT